TAAGAAACAGATTTACTGTGGATTAGAGAAGAGCCACCGTTACAGTAACAATATACCTCCTATAAATATTACTATACCCACGAGTGAGGATTTCTAGTATAATTCTATATACTGTACTTATCTAAAAAGATAATCTTAAGTACGTTAGATAGGTCTAGAAGATACCCCTTCTTTAATATTAAATACCTTATTAAATTCTTTATCTTTTATTAACTAAAGGGTATAGAATAAAAGCTAATCTTCTATATGTTTTATATTTAGTGGAATTTTTACTTTTACTTTAGTGAGGTGTAAGCCCTCAGCCTTTAAAGCTAAGGTAATTATATAACTATTAATAGGGCTTAGTAATGACTTTACTAGCACCTTTTTTAAGATTCTAGGATTCTAACGAATAATTCGTTTTATAGTTTAAATATCTTAAGGAGATAGTTTCTTTAGACGCCTAAAGTGACTCTTTAGAGTTATATAGCCTATTATATTATAGCTATTAATAATCTTTAAGATAGTACTTTAAGTCGTATTAAACTTAGTTATAATCTTAGTCTGTGTTATACCCGCGTTTTTAGCTGTAATAATCACTATACGGGCTTCATTTAAGAATTAATGGTTTCTTTGACGATTTCCTAATATAATAGTACTAAACGCACGCTTTTTAGGGGTCTGTGCCATTATTTATTAATGATACAAGAAGGTGTAGGTTTGGAAGGCTGATGGCGCGATGCCTGACGCGTCGCGCACTATTCCAGACTTTTTGTGTGGGGCTGTATGTACCTACGTAACTACTGGGCACCTTGGTAAGCAGCGTTCGGAGCAGTGCCACTAACTCAGTACCTGGTAACTACTATAGGTACATAGGTAGGTACCTACAGTAGTGGTATGCATGTCGGTAGCCCAAGGAGGTGACCGAGTAGTGGCGATTAATAAGCTACTCCCGCACAGCAAATGGAGATTCTCGCCCCGTCCGGTTTGCTGTCCGTAGCCTGACTTGTAAGCTATTTGATGATATTCGCCCCGAACCAGCGTCTGAGCCTCTTCATTTGACTTTGCCTAGTACACCGGGAGATCGTGCGTCATGTTTGGCCTCACTGGCCTCGCGTACCCGCCGTCGCTTTCCGAGGCTGAGACGGAGCACCTCATCAACACCATCAAAGACTGGTCCGCCAGTAATGGCCTGATGATTCGTCCCCCGCCTACCGTCATTGCCGCCAACGTCGACCCCAAATGCATCGCCGCCATTAATGCGCCGGTCACGCTGTTCCCCAGTCCATTTCCCCGGCAATGCTTTGCCCAGGCGCTTGGTGTACAAACGACCTACAATGAGCTGTATGCGGCTGTGAGCAGGAATGAAGAGTTTATCGAGGACACTGTCAAACAGTACGCCGGACGACATCAAAATTACGCCTGCAGCATGGACTAATGTACATTAGGGTCATTGAGGGAGATGAATTCATCAAGAACCTGTGGGCAGTGCACCAAAAGGTCAAGGCTGAAGGATATACACAGGTGAGTATCCGAATACCTCGACCATGGACCAGATTCTAATACCGCCGAGTCGCTGTCGCTGGGCATCTTCCGCTCCGACTACATGATCCATCAAGACACTACAACCGACTCTCCCACATTCCAGGCCAAGCAAGTCGAGTTCAACACCATTGCCGCCTCCTTCGGCGGACTCTCATACTACACATCTCGCCTTCATAGGTAAGTCTCGCAGCACCCCCCACCAAATCATACCAACGCCGCAGCAGATACCTTTCCACAAGGGAGTACCCTCTCTTGAACAATGCCATTTCGTCCGACATGATGGAGCTCCCCAGCAACAACAGCGTCCCCGGCCTCGCCGCCGGCCTTGAGACTGCCTTTAACGCCTACCCCACCTCCGAGTTGGGCCACACTAACTGCATTCTGTTCCTGGTGCAGGACGGCGAGCGCAACATCTTTGACCAGCGCCACCTCGAGTACCGCCTGGCCGAGGTCGCCCCCTCCGTGCCACTCTTCCGCCTGGCCCTCTCCCGCATTAAGGCACACACATCCCTCGCCGACACGCCTCGGCGCCAGCTGCTCTACCACCCGCCGCAATGCCCTGGCCGAACGTACGAGGTCGCCGTCGTCTATCTGCGCGGCATGTACGACCCGAGCGACTTCCCGGACCAGGACGCTTGGGACGCGCGCTACCACCTGGAGCGCTCCGCCGCCATCAAGTGCCCCACGGTGCTGACGCAGCTCGCCGGCACCAAGAAGGTGCAGCAAGTGCTAGCAACCACGCCGCAACCCGCCGCCGCCGCCGCCGCCGCGTCGTCCGTCCTGAGCTCGTTTATCAAGGTCGCGGACGCTGAGCAGGTAGTCGAGCTGTCACGCACCTTCACCAACATTTACCCGATGGACACGTCGCCAGCAGGACTTGAGGCGCGCAGGCGCGCGCTCGACCCCGCGCTCGCTGAGGCGTATGTGCTCAAGCCACAGCGCGAGGGTGGCGGCAACAACATATACCGGGGTGCCATCCCGGCGTTCTTGAGTTCGATCCCCGAGGAGCACTGGAAATCGTACATCCTGATGGAGCTCATCACGCCGCCGCCGGTGTCAAACCTCATCCTGCGCAACGGCGCCTTGGAGAAGGGCGGCGTCATCTGCGAGCTCGGCATCTATGGGACATGCTTGTGGGATCAAAAGACGGACGAGATCCATCACAACGAGTTGGCGGGGTACCTACTACGCACAAAGGGCGACAAGAGTGAGGAGGGCGGCGTGGCAGCGGGCTATGGCTGCATGGACAGCTGCTGGCTTGTTTAGAGGGGGTTATTGGGGGGCAATCCACGGAGCCAACGTAAAAGAAAGAGGGCACAGTAAATAGCTTGGGACGAATGGCTTTTGTTATTGGGTTAAAATTAGGGTGGTTATGGCCATTTATTACACTACATCCAGAAGCAAATAACGCGCGTTAGCTTAACACCTCGAGCACAGGCATGAGGTACCAGTAACATTATCCCCGACAAACCAAATAGGCGTAATAGTTCCTGAGGCTGAGAGAGTAGTTGTACATGACCGGGCGCTCGCGTTGTATCGCGCAGCTTCGCGCGTCAACAATGCGCTTCCATGGCCAACGGTGAATCGGCTGTTATGGGGGGTATTACTCGTTCTGCGACTGGGGACGCTTGATGACCTCGATGCTGCCTGCAACATTCGTTAACCTCCTCTCGGTTACAAGCCACTGGAAGCAGTTATGGCTGGGTGGTTGATACGTACGCTGAACAATGTTGAAGCTGCTGCGTGTCTGGCCGTCCTTGTCCTGGTAGGTGCCGGTGCTGGCATCGCCCTCAACGAAAACGGTTGCACTGTAGATTCCAGTCAGCATACAAAGGTACGGCCAGATCACCTGTTTGCAAGCGCGCGCGAAGATATGGACGGGGAAGCAAGACGTACCCCTTGGGCAAGGTCAGGAGAAAGTCCTTGCGGGGCCCCTCGGCGAAGCTGGTGACGCGGAACCACGAGGTCTGACGGTTTTCCTTGGGGCCCGAGTTGCTGGCGACGGCATACTTGATGATCTCGCGGCCGGTGCTGGTGGGCAGGACCTCGGGCGTGTCGGCGAGGTTGCCGATGATGGAGATGCGGGCGATGGGGCGCGGCGACGAGGTGCTAAAAACCCGGCCCGCGGGGGCGGCGACAGCGGCGCGACGGAAGAGCGTGGAAGACATGGTTTTGTTGTGTGGGAGGCACTGTACGATGCTCGGTTCGCGTACTGGGCGGGGATTGGAGATGCGGCGATGAGATGTAGAGGAAGAAGGAAGAAATTGGGGGTCTGTTCGCAACCGCAAACATGTCTCAGTCGCGAGTTAGATTATGTCTGCATGCTGATTGGCTGCGCTGCCGTAACTTTAAGGGGGCGGAATTGGGTGGAAGGGGGTTTATGTAAGTGGTACCTCTGCAGCAGCGGGAGCTTTGTGTTACGAATGCTGCAGGACGTGCAGGCGGGGCTGAGAGAGGCAA